GTCTATACTGTATTATTGGTATTTATTTTATATAATTGATACCTATGTTTATTTTATATGTAATTAATTATCAAATAATTAACAACTAGCATATAATTAAATAGATAATAAAAGCCATGTAATAAAAAGAAAACCCTAAACAATTTTTAAATATGAAATTCCAGAGGTTAAATTAGGCACTAAAATTAATTTTGTCTAAAATATAGGACACGTTTTTCTAAGATACATTGTATTTTAAGTAACTTGTAAATTTTATTGAAAATTTTTTGAAAAAAAAAATCTGTTCCATTTTTCTTAATTATATTTGTTCTTATTATATATATTGATGCATAGTTTATTTATATTATATTATACTGTGTAAAACAATATTTTTATATTTTGTTATTAAATATATTAAAAAAATACCCAACATGTTGTATTTTTTTCTTACACCAATTAACCTTGTTTAGATTTATATTTTATTTCCTAACTGGTTGACATTAATTTAGGTATAAATTTGATATTTTAAAATATAAAATACTAAAAGTGTTCTTCTCTTGATAGCCTTTACATTGTTTATAATTGATACATAGATAAAATAAATGCATGTAACGACACATTAAAACGTTAGTATTTTTTATTTTATTTCACTTAGCTTATGGCTTGGGATTAATTTAAATTATATAACCATAGTAAATATTGAATATTGTCATAATAATAGAAGATTGATATTTTGGTGTCTAACAGATAAAATATATCGTTCATCATATTTGATTACTTAAAAGTTCCTCATATATTATAAAACTGAAATAATATTTTGTTATATTTAATCAATATAAATATAAGTTTTTTAATAATGTGCTAATAAAGGGAGAAAGACTTTTATTATACCAATATTTAAAAGCACAGGAGACATACAGGATTTTAAAAACTTTAAAAAAACATAATGTACATAACATAGATGTCAAATGTGTTCATATGAGTTATTAGGGAGAATCTCTATATGAGTAACCAAATTTATTTCTACCAATTTAATCGATATACTCCATGTTTATTAATCATTTTTGATTTTAAAAACATAATATGGGACATATTTCTGGATTTGTTTACCGTATATTCGATTTTTTTGCTGTACCGTCAAAACTTTCCAAGCCCTAATAATTGATAATAATACTAAGAATATATGATATTATCACCCAACTGTTAGCGAAAACACACCGAAAATCTATTTCCAGTCAGTTTTTCATAACCGTTTTAGCGACAAATCAGTACAATACAGTACATACAGCATGGCTCAGTAAAAATTATACAACAGATAACCAAAAATTCATCACACAGTACGTGTTTTACGGGTATTACCAAATTTAAAAAATATCGAGTATTAGTTATGGTTTGTATACTCGTTACTATTTGAATTTGTTGGAATACCATTGGAACCATTTAGAATCTAACAAGTAATCACATATAATTAATGTATTAATTTGTTTACAATATGATTCACTAACTACTGTATACTATATTAGTATCCGTGTTCTATTTATTATACATATATTACTTACCTCATATGTTTCAATCCTTTTTTTCTTTCGATAAGTTGCTACATTCTTTTTTTTTAATTGAATATTATTTTTGTTTTCCATACCTTGAATTATTTGCGACAAAATAATAAAAAACACAATTCGTCATATAGTACGTAATATTTAATTGTGAATAAAGGTCGATTCACACATAACAGTGACGTGACATCAGTGAGCTTCAGTGAAAAAAAAAAAATTATAGACCGTGATAGACCGTGCGTGTTCAGACGCGTCCGACGCAGTGAAGCTCCGGCGTTCACAGTGCTCATCAGGCATCCGTGATAAAAATAAAAATACGTCGTCGCCGATATTTTTTGTTTTTCACGGACATCCGTGATCAGTGTATTTTTGTTTTATTTTTGTTAGTTGTTTTTATGTAAAATATTTATGTCATGAATGATGAATTTTTGATTGAGTTGGTGCGGAACAGACAAGTTCTTTATGATTTGAAGGACCCGAAGTATTTAAATTCCGATTTGAAGGGAAGAATATGGCAGGAAATTGGCGAAAAAATGAAGATTCATGGTGAGTATTTAAAATAACAGTAATCTATGTACATAAAATCTAAATGCCACTTCAGTGACTCCAGTCACCAATCGCTGTAACTCAAAAACTACGCAACGTACGAACTTGAAATTTGGAATAGAGGTTCATGAGTATTTGTATTCGTTATTTATTTATATTAAAACTTTATATATATTATAACTATTAGTTGAAACATGTGTATCAGTATATTATATAATGGTGTGAAATAATAATTTAAGTTGGAAATAAATTAATAATTGGAAACAAAACTATAGTGCGTTTCACGAAATTAGAGACTCGACTGCAGCGCGACCGGTGGTCAAAACTTTGCATTTCAGTGTCGTTCAAACTTTACAAAAGCGCGGTTGATTTGAAAATAATCATACCTTTTTAATGATGATTTTTTTTTTTTAGATATTTACCAAAAAAAAAAAAATATATGAAAAAAAAGGTAATATATTATTTAAACAAAAATTAAAATATTATAATACACAAATTATTTTATAATAAAAAAACAAATTTTATTATTTTTTTTAAAAATAAAAAAATACATTCATATATTCATAATACTTCATCATAATCTTCACTGTCGTCGCTGCTTTCATCGGGATTCATAGTAAGAATTATGGGTTCTAAAATTTCGTCCCGTAAGCCTTCCTTAATGAAGTCGTCGTCTTGCAATTTTTCTTAGTGCTTGACACAACGCTTCCAATCTTCAGCCGTCACCGAGTCTATGACTTCATTCACCAGTTTTTCTACATCCACAATTTTGAAAGTAGTGTTCAATTCCGCGACTTTATTTTTAATTTACGCCCATATAAGCTCGATGGGATTGTACTAGCAATGGTACGGTGGTAATCGTACAACTGAATGTCCCATTTGTAATGCAATCTCGTCAAGCTCGTAATTTTTTTTTCTTGGTATTACATATTTTACCCTCTCACGTAATTCACACAAAGATTCGAGTGGTGAAAAGTCTATACCTTTATTAGTTAGCCATTGTTGTACATCAGATTATTTGCTATTCGATTTTGGATAATTTTCCGAAGTCGTAGAGTGGTATGACGCGTTGTCCATTACGATAATGGAGGGTTCTTCCAAATGTTTCATCATTTGAATGAACCAATCTTTAAATATAGTTGAATTCATTTGGGTATGGTAGTCTACATTTGTGCCAGATTGACAACGGAACACTAATTTTGAACCTGCTACAAACCCAAATGAACTTGATCCGGCATGGCAAATAATTAATCGGCTTCCTTTTCCAGTAGGTACCTTCAACCCTTCAGCATTATCTTTGTTCTGCCATATGTACCCACGAATGTGGTTTTGATTTATCCAGGTCTCATCCAGATAAACTACAGGACGAGTATCCTTATTTTGACGTAAATTACACATGGTTCTTAAAAATTTAACGCGTATCGCAACTATATCGTTTCTCTCCATTAGAAATTTTCTACCATCGTTACATTTCTTATATTTGAAATGTAAAGACCTCAAAATTCGCCACATAGATGTTTTGGATCCCTTATATTCAGTTTTTTCTTGGTACTTACTCAGCATTTTAGTTGTTGTGGGGTACTCTCGATTGTCATAGAACTCATGGATAGTTCTCCGTACAATATCCGCATCAAAGTCGTCAATACCTGTTGCATACTTTGCTCGCTTATATTGTTTTCACGGAGAGGTAAATGAAACACTTGAAGGGCCGACTTCTGGTTCTGCTTGTACCATAGATTTGACACCTTCAGTCGTAATCCTTTTTACGGTACTTTAACTGACTCCTCAAGCATCCGCAGTAGTTTGTTGAGTCTGACAAAAATACTTGGCAACTTCGACGTTCACTTTGTCATTTGACAACTTTTTAAAATAATTGTAAACTGAATGTCTGTAGTCCGACATGATGCTTCTTAAAAACATTTTTAAGCGATTAAGTGCTGAAAACGTTCTTTACGGAGTGAAAGAGGTAACTGGTAACGTGGCGAATAATTATAAAAGTATTTTAATGTTAGGTCGAAGATTGGTGCGATGAGAGAGTGAATCAAGAGCAGAATTCGGTTTTGGAATAGTATTTTGACTCCATTGTTGCCTCTATATGAACAGGTTAGCTCTGATTGTAGATGAGGTATCATCATGGAGATCTTGGACATATATTTTAGTAGGTATTATAATATTTTTATCGTCATACATATTTAAATTGGCCGGAATAAGTCCTTCAAGTGGCATAACATCAATAAGCCTTTAATTAAAACGAGCATCCATTGATTCTATTAAATAGTCAAGATACATTATACATATAAACACGGCCCATGGGGGGGCTATAGCCCCCTTAGCCCCCCCTTGGCTACGCCACTGAACTATTACATTACTTAACTTTTTTTATACAAATAAAACCATTTAAAAAAGTAGTATTACAAACCATCCCCGATAGGAAAAGGAAACTCATGTTCATATACTAAATCAATTAATTCTAAAACCATGTAACCAAGGAAAAAAAAAAAATTTTATTTCCAAAATATTTACCACATTATTTTACCAATATTAGAAATTTCAAATACTATACATTGAAACATGAAGTTCAATATAAATTATAAATTAATATTTAAGTATATTATTATAATAATATCTTTAAAAATTTAACTATAAACTGTATTATCGTAATTATTGATAATACACCGTATGGAATATGAATTTAAATTATGATATCCATGACGTATTATCGTATAGGTACCTGATAATATGTTTAATGATACAACAATACTTTTGTATATGATAGGTACAATTTAGAGTAAAAGTCAGTGAGACAAATAAGAAATGACAAACACAATTAGTATATTCACGTGTATAAATTATAATAATATTATGAAATATAAATATATTAAAGATTAAAAAAAAAGTATTTGTGCATTTATTGCCTAAGGTTTTCTTTGATTAAGACTTTGCAAGTAAAACAAAAAGTACTGCAAAATCCTTTCCTCTTTTCTTTAGTAAACTCCAAGTCACGAAATGTGCAATCAAACCCTTGATGTTTTATTGATTGAATAGATTCAAAAATATATTTAATATTTACTAATCTTCTTCCATCCAGACTATCAAATGAGCTATTTATTTCTGAACTATTATTTTCCTGCTCAACTACTTCAGTTAACATTCTATTCACCGGAGTAGAAGTAAAAAACGATTTTGTTTGAAATGTGAAGTTATCATTGTACGAAGATTCTGAAGCGTTTAAATCTTTAGTATTATTCCTATGCATAAATAAAAAATCACAAAAAATTAAATCTGAACCAGCTATTTCGTAACCTTTAATATTTTTTGTATCAAAATAAGTAATATGTGTCTTTTGCAGTAATTGGAAATAATTAGCTGAAATTCGAATTATATAATGATATTCCATACTTAGGTATATGTATTTCTTTATTGCAGTTTTTTTAAATATAATATATGACTAATAGCCTGAGGCTACCTTTTACAATTAAATAAAAAATATTTTAGGCATTTTTTAAAATTTTATGATTTAAAATTATAATTTAAATATAAGATTTTTTAACTACAAAACATTGGTAGTGTTTTGACAATTTTGAAAACTACTATGAACCACCCCTCACCAGATTTGTTTTGTATACGTGCCTGGACGCAAGTGATTCAAAACATGTGCCATAGCAGACTCAAATATAATAAATTACGAACAAAAAATTAAATATTTTATAAGTTACATCTGTTTGTCTATTATTATAGCCGTCGATAATAATAATATAGGCATATAGAACAATAGTATATATATAACTACTACTTACGTTCTACAACTGTCGTCTGTCATTTTACTATGAATAATATCCATAATAAATGTTTTACTTACCGAGTCACAGTAGTAAGTTCTATATTGTTATCTGTCAAAACATTTTCAGATTCTGGCAAATGTGTATTTTCCTGTTGCAATTAAAATATAAGAATACAGTCTGAATAATCTTCAATTTTTAGAATATTATTCTAAATTTTATATTTATATAATTACCTGATCACCGCAGTTATTTTGTATATCAATTTTTTTATTCTGTAAATTTTGTAATCGATGTTTTTTTATTTTAGGTGCACTTAACTTACGTCTAGCTTTTCTCCCATAACGCCAATCTTTACCAATTTAGTAAAAAATTAAAAAGAACACAAAACTTACAGAAAACCTTACTGATCGGCGTGTTGTGTTGAAATCAAATGATTCATAAATCATAGGTAGTATTATTATATTTTGTATTTCCTTAAAATTTAAATATATGTGGGTTGTATTTAATTTGGAAAAATATAATTATTATTACTGACTATTATTATTGTCCCCCATTAGTAATGTTCTATAACTATCCAATAATCCTTATCGGCTAATTGTTTCCGACTTTCCGAGAATCTATCACGGCCCGTCGGCAGCCGCGAGCCGCCGCGCCGCCGAAATAAACTATTGCACGCGCAGGCACATGTCAATACTTTACGAAAAATAAAATATATTCATGTTTGCAATGCTATAAAAACTACTAAAAGCGGTAGTAAATTAAACATACTTCCTGAAGTCCGATTGTAATTTTGAAAATATGGTTGAATATATAAACTTCTAGACTATGCTCTATAGGAATCACTTTTTTTATTTAAAATTAGATGTGCCCAAAATAAATACAAATGTAATACAATTATTTCATGAGATTTTTGAAAAAAAAATCGTTATTTTAAGGTCCTTTAAAATTGAAAATTGAAAATCGACTAAATAACTTAGATATTTTGTCAAAGAGTTCATACATGTATAAAAATTTAAAATCGGACATTCCGAAGTATGTGTAATTTACTACCGCTTATTGGTCTAAAACGCACGTCTGCTGCGTTCCCCTTAAGAGTCGATCGTAGAAAGCAAGAGACTTGGTCGATTATTGTGATCTCCAGTTAATATTAATAATAAACATAATTAACACTATAGTGCGGCCAGCGAAACTAGAAGCTTGACGGTCACGCGCCCTAGTGGCCGTTTTTCATTAGGGCTACGAAGAATGATTTCCCGCGTAAAACAATTTCAAACACATTTACACTTGTTGTATAGACCTGTTTCACAGCTACTCGTACGATATGCGCGCTTATTATATATTCTTACGTGTGGCTATGAAACGGGCCTTTACTAAAAACATACATTTGATATTTTTGTAATACACATTTTTTATTAATTTATTATCACGTTATCAAAATAATAATATAATTTAATATAATAATAATAACATTTAAAATATTTACAATTGTTTTCGAATTTTAATAATAATTATCAAACTCTACTCAGCGTAGTCGTCGTCATCATCGTCGCTCGAACTGCTGTCATCTGGATAAATTGTTAAAATAATCGGCTCTAATATTTCGTCCCTCAATCCTGCTTTATAGAAATCTTCTTCTTGAATTTTCACGCAATGTTCTTCACATTTGGCCCAATCCTCAGCAGTTACTGCGTCAATTTCTTGATGAACAAGTGCCTCAACATCAGCAATTTTAAAAGTTGAGTTTTTTTCAGCCACTCTTCCTTTAAATTGTGCCCAAATTAATTCTATGGGATTATACTGACAGTGGTAAGGTGGAAGTCTTACCACTTCATGTCCCATTTGGTGTGTCAATTGATCCAACTTATAAATTTTTCCACGTGGCATCGCAAGTTTGACTTTCGCCCGTAATTCATCAAGAGTTTCTACGGGAGAAAAGTCTATATTTTTTTCGCGCAACCATTGTTGAACATCTGCTTTCCTACTATTTGACTTCGGGTAGTCCTCGAGTAATGCAGAATGATATGACGCGTTGTCCATAACAATAACGCTGGGCTCTTCCAAGTTCATTAACATTTGCAAATACCAATTTTCAAAGATTGTTGCATTCATCTGTGAATGGTAATCTTTGGTATTGCCAGAGTTACAACGAAAAATTAGTTTTGAATCTTTAACAAAACCAAAGGAAGGAGACCCAGCGTGACAAATTATAAGGCGACTGCCTTTCCCTGTTGGTACTTTTAAGCCCTCAGTATTTTCGTGGTTTTGCCAAATATATCCCCGAGTATGATTTTGGTTAACCCAGGTCTCGTCTAAATAGACTATTGGCCGAGTATCACCATTTATACGAAGCTCGTTCATTTTACGTAAAAATTTTACGCGCGCAGCTACTATGTCCGACCGTTCCATTAGAAATTTGCGACCGTCATTACACCTTTTATATTTAAAATTCAGTTTTTTCAAAATAATTTTTACCGATGATTTCGACCCCCGGTAATCAGTTTTTTCTCGCAATGCTGCTAAAATTTTTGCGCTTGTTGGAAATTCTCCCTTGTCATAAAAGCTGTGGACCACCCTTCTGACCACTTCACTGTCGAAATCGTCAAGATCAGTGACAGGTTTGTTACGACTGTAACGTTTTCTAGGTGATCGAAATTTTAAATCTGTAGAACTTCCGACACCTAATTCTTCTTCAACACCAAGAGATAAAGTTTTGCTTTCCTTACAAATTCTCTGTACAGTAGACCGACTTACCCCACAAGCATCTGCCGCACGCTCTTGACATAGTCGGAAAAAATTTGCCACTTCCGTGGCTTGCGTGCGAGCTGTGTATGTGTGTGTGTGTAGTAAATGATCATTAGTGTTAATGATGGTGTAGCGGGGTCAGCGATAACGACTACAAATTCTGAGTACTCGAACACAAATAATAATTTCAGATTACTGCTCGACTGATTTTAATGACATTTTTTTTTGTATTTTTAGTAGGTATGAGAATATAAACTTTCCTCCTATTTACCCCCACCACCATTTTTAATCATGGTTTTATTATTTTTGAATGAAATCACGTGGTAATGAGTAATACTGTACCACTTACCTATAAATAACGAATATAGTAACCAATAGTAACGAAAATAATAACTGGCCAACTGGGTACTTATATATTATAATTAGTGATGATTTGTAAACAAATCTAAACAGTACATAGAATTATAACATATTTTTTTGTATAATTATATTTAAATATTTTTACTTATGAAATATTATTCAAATATTGAATTATTAATATTGTGGATAACCTATAAATACACAGTTAAAATTACCTATTTAGACTACTTCAATATAAATTTAAAAAAATTACTCAACACAAGAATCAGACTAAAAAACAATCAAATAAAAGTAAAAACGATAACAAGGTTCCATTGATATATTTTATATATAATACAGTGTATTAGGTATAATAAAAAAATATAAATAACACATAGTATAAAAAACATGAATTTCAATTTAATTATTACTAAATGTAATTTTCAAAGATTAGTTCTGCAGTAATACAATAACTTTTAATCGCATTATAACTATCATTAATAATTTCATTGTTCGTAGTTTTCAATATAACTTCATTTGTATTATCCTCAATAACATCCTGTTTATAATAATAATTTTAAGAAAATTATTAAACAATAACTAATATCATAAAATAAATATTTTTAAGTATTCCTTCTTAACAATTAGAGTAATATATTCTCGAGTAACTTAATTTAATAAAAGGAAGAGAACACCTTTAAGTTTCATCAAAACAACAATAGGAATAATCAGATATTATTTCATGATAAATAAATTATTTTATTTTATTTTTCACGTAGAGTAGTAGGGGATAAATATATAGTAGTATATGATAAATTGACAACCAAATAATAATAAATTTTATAGAATTACATAAAATGATTTTATGATAATAATGAATAAATTCATATTTTTTCATTTATTAATTGAGAGTATATTACCTTGTATGTTATCTATATTTAAACAAGATGTGTGATACCTTTGAAAGAAATATAGCAAGAGCAAAGGAATTTATGAGAAATTTAAGAACATTCTTAAAAGGAGACAATCATGTAGAAAGAGAACTCGGAGATGTAAATTCAACGGTAGAATTAATATGCTTCGCAGAACATATGCGACAGGCAAATAATTTAATGACAGAACCATACACACCAGCAGAAATAATAAATTTAATAATACCAATAACGGAGTATACACAAGATGTAGTACCGGGAGATACGCAAAATGCGATATGTAAAGAGTTAGGTGAAGTTCTAGATGAACTAATTGAAGATGGAGTGATATAAAAATAAAATAATGTAATATCATATAATATAAGGATAGGATAGAATTAGAATAAGAATAAGAAAATATAATAATAATAAATTAATAAATAATAAAAATTCTAGGATGGTGATGTGTATTGAAATATCAGGACAAGAACTTGACAAATATTTTTCTATCGAAAACTTCGACAAAAATCCTCCTGGATTATACTTCGAAAATTATGAACCAACAGGTTAATCGGAGCAGAATATAAATTAATTACGTATTTATCGTTAGCTGAATATAATAAGAAATATAATGAATTAGGTAGAAAAATAAATGAGTTAGATACAACATGTCAAAAGTTAAAATTAAATAGTTTGTGTGGGCAATATAACTATGTAATAACGGGATTATATAATGAAGTAACTACACAACGTAATCATATGTACATTGCATTAGGATATTCGGAAACGAACACAAACCGGAGAGAGAGACGAAAAAGGGTGTTAATCAATGCGATAGGAGCGGTTATGAATACATTGTTCGGAGTATGCGATGATAATTGTGCGAGTAAAGCAAATGAACAAATTAAACAAATAGAAGTATCAGGAATTAGTACATTGCATATTATGAAATCTCAAACTACAGTAATGAAAACGGCAGTGCAACGTATAGGTACGACAATCGAACAAGCAAATAAAATGTATGACGAATTAAAAACTAGGGAGAAACAAGTTATGTTAAAACTTAATGACGTAGCAAACACAACAAATAATCTATTAGATTTAGTCGCTATGTCGGAAATACACAATATTTACACCGCTCTAACTAACCAATATGAATATGAAACCTCAACTATTAATCAAATAATAACAGCCGCCCGAGGGGGAATAATACACACAAGTCTAATTACACCCCAAGAATTAGCAGCGACATTAAAAGAAATATCCCATAAGGTAAAAGGGAAATTGAGTATACTAATGGGGAGGACCAACACCGCCGAATTGTATGAATTGCACAAAATAACTAAACTAACAGTATTTTACGAAAATGAGAGACTAGTCTTTATAACTAAAATACCATTAATAACAGATACAGAATTAATATTATACAACGCTATACCAATTCCAATGGTAAGAACATTAAATTATGGTAATTCAATTAATACGAGAGTGAGCATAAATCTGGATAACCCATATATAGCCATTACAAAAGATAGACGCGAATACACTACTTATACCGAAATTCAAATCCAAACATGTAAAGAAACCAAAATATATAGAATGTGTCATGCTTATCAACCCATACAAGAAAATAACGATTTACAACCATGCGAAATAGATTTATTCAACAAACCACATAAAATTCCTAATAATTGTCGTTCATTAATTATAACAGTAGATCGGAACATATATCATAAACTTAAGTATCAAAATGAATGAATACTCGTATATTCCGTCCTTAATGATACAATAGTATCATCTTGTGCAGATTTGTCGGAACCTCAAATAAATCATATAACAGGCACCGGAATTATTAAAATTTATGACAACGGATGTCAGTTATCAGGTAAATATGTCGGGTTAACACCCGTAGAAGAATTAACAAATAAAAAATTCGTAGATTTTATACCTCAGAGTGATATGACTTCATTACTAGACAAAATACCGCAAAACGTACATTTAATAACATTAAAAAATATAAGTTCATATAAAAGTTTAAAACTAACTGACCTACACGAATATTCACAATCACTTAACGAAATAGAACGACAGATAAGTAATGAGGAAAAGAGACAAAAACATTATAGTCAACACACTGTACATTAATATACATTATATATTATGATAGCGTTAGTCGTGTTCAAAATATATATACACACAGCAATATATGCTTATTTAATTGCATTTTCAAGTGTTTTTAGTTTTTCATGTTATTTTGGAATATTTTATTTGACGTATTTTGTCGTGTGCACCGTCCAGATTCATCCAGATTCTAGATCCATAGAATAAAGATACCTCCCTAATATAAAATTGTTAACTTATACCTTCTATTATAATAATTATTATAATTACCTATAACTATTATTTTTGTTAAATACGGATTTGTTAAAATTAAATTTGTTAATTAATACCCATTTGTTCAGTCCGCCATTATCGGTAATTCACATATTTCACAATATAAAACATTGGGAAACTACCATTAATTCATCCAAATCAACAATAAAAAATTAGATTCCATCGCTCTGGAAAATATAAGTTACCAATCTACACCCAGGTTAATTCCACAGCAATAGTCTGTTTCTTTCTAAATTTTTCCAAATAACCCCCTGCTTATCCAATCGTGTATTATAAGTACGTATGTTTAGAAGTTACTGTTTGGTTTGAAATATTATATACATAGGTCAACACTAGAAAAATAAAACGCACATAAATATTTTTTATAATTTTCGTTTACAAAGTTTAATTATTTGTAACATAATCTAAATAGTATCATAACGTTTAGTATTATTATACCAATCATATTTAATTTAATAAATTAATTAAATTATATCGACAAATCGACTATATTTATGTTTAAGTTAATCAAAAATACCTATCGTTTTCAATGAATATAATGAATTGCATTTTACTTAATAAATATATCAGAAAGTTTATTAATCATCGACATCTCAAATCGAATCCCGTGTTTATTCCTGGTAAAGATGAGTATGCCGTGTTTATATGGAGAACGAGTGATAAAAATGCTAGTATGACTATCAATCGATTTCCAATTTCTTAAATGTACCGTTCATATCCATATCTATGGTTCTTGCTTGCATAGGTCGCTTGGACAAATCAGCTTTCGGCATGTTTCTGTACCATTCATCATCCTCTTTCGACATTTCGATCATGTTAGCTATAAACAATAGATATAAAACATTCTTTATTTAATTCTGAACAAATGCTAATGTTTTCAATTGTTCAACTGAATCAAGGTTAATTTATCAAGTACGACAGTAAAGTTACCTTCAAATTTCTCGATGCTTCCCGCGGTGCCACCGTACTCCTCTGGTAACACATCTTTAGGAATGTACTCGTAAAGCGAATCGTATGTTTCGTGAACAACAATCTAAAAACATAAAACTATTACAAAGACACGAACGTTTGTGCAAACTCGAATATTTCTGCTCGCTAATATAGCTTAATTATGTGCGTACTCGTCAGGTACTAACCCTGTTTTGAATTTTAATCGGCATGAACAATTTAAAAAAGTTCACCAAACGAGCTACGAACTTTGGTGGATTCACATAATGGACACCTCTTACTCTTATTGGTGTAGCCTCCTACAAAGTGGTCGAATAATAATTAAAAATCGAACTAATTTAGTAATATTTTTATTTTTTTATTTTTTCGTCTCCCTACACCTAGACAAATATAATGTACATAAAATCCATATTACATATTAGATATATATATATATATATATAAACCTAAAAAGTTATTACTTACGTCTATGCATCGCATTAGATTTTTAGTTAATGATGGTGTGAAGTTTAATAAATAGGACAGCGGACAGTGTTTGAGATCGAGCAAAAAAATTAATCCGTAAATGGGCTCTCTGCGCATTATATAATCAATTATTTTGAATGATCCTTTACACATGTTCAATGCACTAAAGTGTCCATCATTGTTTTCAATAGATCGAATAACGTGTACTCGATTAGCTTCAGGTGTCATTTTTGGCAATACACACATTTTTCTATAAAACAATAAATAAATACAATTGTTTTTAAGGTTTTGTTATTTTATGATCGATATGATTAGATTTGCTAATTATGTACATTCGACTGTTTTACGCGTCGTAAAACCAGTTGAATTTACTCCTATAGATATTGTTTTAAATGTATACGAACACTCTTTGTAAAGCCAATGGCCTCAGCTACCGAGACAGTTATTTTCAATAAAAAAAAAGAACAAAATGTATACGTTTTCTGATAGTGAATGAAATTAGTAACAATAACCGTTATCGATCAACAAAATATTTTTAAAAAAAGAACACTCCCCATCCCCATCAGGTTGTGAATGACATAATTTGTATTCTACATTTATTGTTAAATTAGATTATTATCTTATTCTAGAAAGCAGGGCATATTTGTTTTAAAGGTCAGAAATTCCCAAATGAATAAGATCATTTTTATAAATACAATAAGTATAGTATGTAATTGTTAGAATAAAAAAAACTAATTTACTTCTATAAACTTACTTTTTCATAATGAATATATACTTTATAAAAACGATAAAATTAATTTTAGTGTTTTATTTTGCACGGAGTTTCAACTAATAAAATCACATTTTTAAAATAATAATTTAAAGACTTGAGCGCATATTGGACGAAGTGGCACGATCGCAATCTAAAATTGAGTATTCAAAATTTTTTGAAACCGTTAAAATTGGAAACACGTTGAAAGAGTTCCTAAAATTTTGAATGACATATTTATTTCAGAATATATAATATAAGAAAATTACGAAAAAATATATATTAATTTTATTTTAAAAATTCACCAAAAATAAAATGTCCCACTTTTTCAAAAAACACAACATTAAGTAAAAATGGTTTTTTTTTCTTGTAAAAATCGTCAACTTTTGAAACCCATCAATAAGCATCTTGGTTATTAGTTAATCATACATCTCTTAATTTAATTTTTTATGCATTAAAATCGTATAAATATTGAATGCAAAATTAAGGGTAGATACATATAGTGGTTAGGTGTAGCTTCAAAATCATAGTGTATATTATAACTCAATTTATAAATTCTTAGATGTAAGTACCTACTTACAATGTACGGTTAAAATATTTAAAATAAACTGAACTAGTATAAGTATCTTATATGATAAAATATTATGAATGAGAGAGTGTTAATTATTAAAGTTTTTTAAACGGGTCATCAATGCTGGAATAAAATATCAGTCAGCCCTTACAACACTCACCCGACTTTAATTGCTGCTTTGATCCATTCGGCATCGCTTGTCATGTTGTCAAAAAGTTCCGGAACCTCTACACGAATTGTAAAATATGATTCAATAACTTTTTTTGTCCTTTGTAAATTATTTTTGCGACCAATAAGAAAGTGTTTCAGCCATACTCGATCTAAAATAAAAATTAAAACTGAGTAACTTATAGTATTACAAATTTTTTCATACTACTGATGGTTCTTTCAACAGTATGTTTAAAAAACTTTTCAAGTAATTATATATTATTAATGCAGCTAGATTAATTGGCTGGAAGAATTTTTTTAAAACTAATACATATTTCGTTACAACTTGTTGGAATGATTAATTTAAAATTAAAAGCGAAACTCACTCTTTAAAAACAGGGGCGCACCCAAGGGGTGGGGGCTTTGGGGCTGTAGCCCCCCCCCCAAAAAATATGTTTTACATTCAACTATACATTATATCATATCGTCACAAGTATAGTATTACAATGATAGGTATGAAAGGTACAAATTTTTTCAAGTTTTATTATTATGTTAATTATACATTAATAGAAAATTAATGGCAATTGTTTACTTGTGTGTAAGGAAAATAAGAAATTGTTTAAACCCCCCCCCCCCCCCCCAAACAAAAATCCTGAGTGCGTGCCTGCTTTATGATAAATTAAATAAATATTTAATAATTTACAATTTATTTATACACGTTTGTGTATGTATGAATATTTTGTATCAGTTTTCCTTGTAGTTAAAAATATAATATTTATCCGGGATCATCACTTTGTCTCGGAATAGTGCAGACTTTTATAATTAGATATGACATCACATCACACTACTTTTTTATTTTCCACAATATTGTTTTTTCAGTAAATCATTACTTACATTACTTAGTTTATAATAATATAAAATTAGACGACGATTTCGAAAACTATCGAATTTAGTACACGATTGCGTCGTGAGAAAGTAGTAACGATAATTATAATATCGGCTTAAAGGTGATTATTGTTTAGCGCACGTACTCGAAAAATATTGTTGCCCCATGTATGGGGCAAAATGGGGTAAAATGAAATTTTTAAGTTTTTAGTTTTTACTAAGTGAAAAATTGTTTTATTGTTATTAGTTGATAGTGGTATTATATGAGACAACATAATGATCATATGACTCCAATTTTAGAATATTATTATGTAAAATTAACATTGTATTCCTACTAAAACCTTATCGTCCCCATTTTGCCCCACGGTCCCCTACCTGTAATACTGGGTAGATGTGGTTGTTTGGACAACCATTCGATCAAAGCGTCGACATCTTCTTCAGATTTCATAGGATCTTTATAGAAGTACAGCTGTTGAATAGCCTTTTGGTGGTGTTCGTCCGGTGGTAGGAGAGCCATTTCAGCTGTGGAAGATATTATGTATTTTACAAATTTGACTGATGTTCAAAAAACTATCGCACCGAGCTCTGGTCAGAGAAAATTAGAACCGAGCACACGTACTGTTTCGCTTGTCTAATCGAAATGACACAAACACGCATACGACACTGCACTGCCACTGGATCTCGGTTTTTATTATTCCATGGAAGTCACGTAATCAGCTTTATGGTTTAGTAGCACATTAAACACACGATCGTACAAACTTATTTTATTAGTATTAAATATACCTATTATAGAACTGGTTTATCAGCTTTTGTTAGCCTTGGAAAATCGCTCAGGTTTATACTTATTATGGTTGCTACATAACAAGTGTGTTTCCTGTAAACTCTCCAGGGCCATCCCAACAGAACTCTCGCACCTTATGTATGAACCGAAGCTGAATTTAAAAAAAAAAAGTTTAAACTTTATTTCAGATACTAAAAAGTGACTAAATCGTTTAAATAAGTTGTACACGTACAAGTATATAAAACATCAAAAAAACACTAGGATTTATTTATTTATTATTTTTTTGAATATTATCCCACAAATTTACAAAAAAATAAATAAAGAAATATATTAATACGTATTTTGGAATGATGATGTCTCCAAAAAGTAAAGCTTGTATAGGAGACACAGAGTTCTATACTTAAAATACATAACAAGTAAATTATAACTTAAACCTATTCAATTATAAGAATATAGTATATGATTAAAAACTAAAAGAAATAAAGGAAAAATAACATAAGAGTGTAAGTACATAAATATATACACACAATACAGCAAAGTAAATAAAATAATATACAACTAAAAATTAACTACTTATAAATACATAGGTAATAACCAAAAAAAAAATATCTTAAGATTTACAATTGAAATTAAACTTTAGTACTGATATATTTTTTGTAACTATAAAAACTGGTAAAATTACTGATGTTAGTATTAAATGGGTTTCTTTTCCCAAATTCTGTACTACACTTTCCTAGTCTAAAAACATTATTTTCAACTTGTCGGGTATGATAATTATATGTAAAAAAGACTACATTACACCTCAGATGATATAAATTTATAAGAAATTTCCTTTGCATGAAGTTGTTTTAACGTTTATAGATAATATTATTATAATATAATTTTTAAAAATAATGTCAGTATTTGTTCTATAAGGTTTATTAAATGCAATTCTTAACAAGGAATTTATAGTTATTTCTAACATTTTTAAGTATACCTCATAGGCACCACCCCGAGCAGATATTCCATAAAAATAAACCGATTGAGCTAGGGCACATAAAACCATACGCATTGTGTTAGGTAATAAGAATCTACTAAGTATTTTGAATATACTGTACATATATCTAACTTTTGTAATTAATACATTAATGTGCATGTTTCATTTTAGGAAACTATCAATAATTATTCCAAGGTATTTTACAGAGTCTGCAGATTTTAAAGAGGTACAGTTACAAATAGTACTTGTACAGTATAAACAATTTGAGTCATGAATTTTAATACAATCATGGACATTAAACATATTAACGAAAAAGGAATACAAGTGGTTTTATTAAAATGTATTTCCAGTGAGTTTGCAATAAACCATTTTTTATTATCTGACATTATCTTAGTTGCTTTGGAAAATAAATTAGATTTATCTCGATCACTAATTATAGGTGTAGTATCATCAGCAAAGCAAAAAATTTGAGCATCACACTTTAAAAGAAGTAAATCATTAATATAAATAATGAGTAATAATGGACCAAGTACTGTACCCTGAGGAATACCATACTTTACACTTCTATATTCACTAAAAAATTAAAGTACAAGTACAGTTGTTGAGCTGGTATAAGTATCAAATATTATATTTACTTCCGGTAATTTAAATAAACCGAATTAGTAAACTGTATATTGTAATAGCCCTTTATTGCAAATTTTAACACTCATAGTATAATTTAAAAAGTCAATATAATACATAATACAAAATTAATTGTATTTACTTTAAATTACTCTCTTAGCTAATCTCTCATCCCTCACACTATTATTTAACACTAATTTTCGCCAAAACCATTATCTATTTATTAAATAAATAATGATCAGCTAGTAATTAAATTATTATCATTTTAATTGTGTATAAGTATAATAACAATAATAATTTTGTATACAATTAGCGTTAATATAATATTTTCTTTTAGAGTTATAAATCATTATGCATACGAACCAGAAAATTACCATGTTCTTCTAGTGTCTATTTTTGACTCTATGAATAAAAATTGTACAGAGTACAGTTTATCCATGTAATATAGGACATGAGTATTTAAATATTTTGTTAATATTGCAACAGTTCGTTAACAATAAAATAATAATCTTGAATCGATATAATGTTTTATTATTTATATTTCTAAAGGTTATACTCTCAAGGTTGAATTCATATTATAGATAAACTCTACGAAATTCATAGGCAATGTAAGTAAGTACATATACGTACAAAAAACTAAAACTTAACACTTGTTAATGTTTACTGTTGTTGAAAATTGGTGGCTCGAGGCTAGACTATGGGCTAGAGAAAACTGTCGCGTTATCGTACGCATTTCGGTGAATGATTTATGATTCGCTATAGCACGAGTTCTCAACCTGGGGGGCGCGCCCCCCTAGGGAGGCGTGACAAAATTTCAGGGGGGGCGTGAAAATGTTGAAAAAGAATACGAAAAATGAAAACGTTGCCGTTTTCTACGCCGTGCATTGCTGGTGTGTTAATCGCCGCCGGGGTCGATCAATAGACATACACCGAGCGATTATTATGATTTTATAAGATTATACAAATCATATAATTATGCTCTTTAGTATTCTGGATATTAATAGAAGCATTGTTTCGGCGAAAAACCGACACTCGACGCGATAAGAACAAGTTTTGGTAACCCGCAAAAAATATTACGATTTCACATCAATCTTATACCAGTGAAGAGGGGGGGAGGGGGCATGAACTCATAAAATATTTTGAAAGGGGGCGTGGACCTCAAAAGGTTGAGAACCCATGCGCTATAGCGTTTGACACTCTAACGTATGAAATTATTCCTTCATTTGACCTTAAAACATCTTTACAAACAATTATTATCACATTTCAACAATACTGGGCAAGTTAATGATATTTTTAACTTAATTAAGTTATGTTGATTGAGTTAATGTTTATTAAAGTTAACAATTAAGTTAATGCACGTGAGAATTACATCAATTAAGTTAAAAAATATCGTTAACTTAACTTAACTTTAATTAATAAGTTAAGTCAATTACAAAAAAAAATATATTTAAATTAAGCGCTGATATAAGTGATATATATATTACAAATGTTCAACAGATCTTATTTAACATTAACGATAATGAAAATGCGGAAAAATCTTATTAGACTCTAATTAAAGTAGAAAAATATACATTTCTTTGTTGAAATTGTTTTTAAACACTCAAATGTCAAATTTATGGTAATTTATGTATGGTTTGTTTTTATTTATTTTTCATAAAAATTACAGATTGTAAATATAGTTAAAAAAAGTATCCTTTTTAATGTTCAATAACAGAAAGGAAACTAAAAATAATTACTGCAGCTGAAAGTGTAACTATAAAATTATACAGAAAAGAAATGTATACATCAGATAAAAAACATTAAAATAAATATATACTATTATTTAAATTTATTAAATTTCAAACAAATAAAATAATACAATGGACAGGTTAATCAAAATACCTATTAAATCTCAATAAAAGAGTCAGCTTAAAATATTGATCAGCTATTGAATTTCTTCTCTTATTCAATAATATTTAATAATATCAATCTTATTTAATAATATCATAGATTATAGAATAATTCTAATAATAGAGTACAATTTTTATTTATATTATTTAGTCAATGATAATATGTACCTATAATAATGTAATTATAATATAGATTTACGGCTACTTTTCATGAAAATGATAATGTAATTCATGGGTGGCGTGGCTATTTTTACTCAATAGTTTTAAGACAGTTGAATACTTTTGCCGAGTCCGGCGGGATCCTTATTAATAATTAATACCGTGATAAACATTAATAGTCTCATCAAAAAATTCTTCGAAATAATTATTTTTATATTTTTCTAAATTCCATGCACTTGTTATTGAATGAAATATTTTTCTGGTCTAGAAAATCAAAATTAACTTAATTGTGATAAATGAAAAAATAATACGTTAATATCAAGTTAATCTTTAAGGAAATGAGTTAAGTTAATAATTTAATTTAATTTATTAGTAATGAAATAATTAAAGTTAATAAGTTAAATTAACTTAACTATTAACTTATTAACTCGTTAATGCCTAGGCTTGCATTTCAACTATACCTATACTATCATATCATTCAATAGACTTTTATTCGTTTTCACGAATCTTACTTTCAATTATATTAATTATTTTAATTAGGAGTCATGGTTATAAATGCTATTTATTCATATGAGTGTAATAAAAATTATAGTATTTTAAAAATTGATAGTAATTTTAAAAGCATAAAATCTAATGAAACACAGCAAAATGGTATCAGATTAGATTGTTTAGCATCGGCATTTTTAAAACGGTTTAACGAAAATATTAAAAATAACAAGAAAATTTACCATTTACAATAAGTTAGAAATTAAAAAATGATTAAATTGATAAATATAATTATAAATATAATAAATATAATTTCTTTGTTGATATGTTGGTTATATTAGGAATGTATAAATATTTTATTATTATTTTTATAATATACTGTGTAAATATTAATTTTATTTTTAAACACAAATTAACTAAAGTAATCAGTGTAAATCAGACAATCCTGTATATAATTACTGAACGTCCCATTACGAAATTCCATTGTGGACACCAAGATATATTCAATACCTCCCAAAAAGCTATCGAATGGATAAAAAATCTTGACCTTAAACTATAGCCAACAACCAAAAAGAGCCAAATGTACTATATTATAGGAAAATTTTACACACACACACACACACATACATTCATTTTTAAAATTGTATCTTAACATTCTATTAATCGTTATAATTATTATATACATTATTACTTGTTTTTGGTTTTGCCATACGAATAAATAAATAATCAGTATAAAAAAAAATACATGTATAATATTATAAATATTATAAAGTTTTAATTATATTTCCATTCATCATTATAATTCAAGCTCATAAAATACTTCGTTTACGTGTTATAAAATATGTATACGACATATTAGTACATACTTCTTATGATACGTAATAATTCAGGTATAAAGCACTTTAACTAGACCTCGTCAACTCGTTTTATTTTTTTAATTACCACAGTATCTATACATCACATTTACCAATGGA